CATTTGCTTTTTCCCACAAAAAGTAAGTTTGCACATTTCTGCGTTATGTACATATTTTTAAACTAGCTACCTCTAGGTTCTTGGAAGAAACAGTGTGTAGCTAAAAGTATGATATATTTGAAACAGAGTAGCACGTTAGTAAGACCCAGTTGTGAAATGCCTGAGAAAGACAAGAGTTAAATCACTTTCCTAAATCAAAATTGCATTTCACGCTGGAGTGTTTATTCCCCCCCCCCAAAACACCAAGTGATTTGTGATATTTATTTTATTAAAAAAGTTTAATTTAATGTCAAGAATTTAGAAAATGAACATTTATATGAATGTATATGAGCTGCTGTGATTTAAAAATATATATTTTGTTTAATTAGGAGAGAATATGGCTACCTTGGCATGTCCTTATGTCACATGATTCTTTTCTGGTCGCTCCATCGGACCCGGAGACATAGCACCAGGGCTTCTCTGAACCATCTGGGTTGCGACAGAAATTGTGATCTCCAACATCTGGCAAGAAGTAAACAAAACGATGAACATTTAAAATAGGATTTAATGGATACTTCATATTTTCTATCCAAACATATTTTGTTTGTGTGAGCATGTGTCCCACACGCACATCCCCATAAAAGCCCTTGTCTGGATTATAGAAGAGTGATTGCTCAGCTTTTTGAGTTGGGCTCATAATATCATCTGGGCAGCATGCCCACATCATACATAACTATAATTGCACAAATCTATAATAGCAACATTGACCGTTTGCAAACTGCATTCTCTAATTAATGGATACAGTCTGTAAATATGCATGATGTATGCATCCTAGCTTGATTTCCCCAAATATGATAACATTGTTTTGCGATGTTGTTTGATTTCAAATTTTATAGTAAAAATGTACAAATAGTCATGAAAAGTAGAAACATAAGTTACCTGTCTGTGAGTTAAGACTCTTCCAGTTGAGGCAGATATTCCCTGTGGATGTCTTCTGTTGCATTCCCCTATAGTCCTCTCCATTAGATGGTATACACTCTGAGGAAAACAAATCAACTTCATGTGATTTGGAAGATCAGTTCCATTCAATTTAGAATAAGGTGGTTAAATTTTCATGTTTAAATTACATTTACTACGCTAAACAATAATCAATACTTTTCCCCCAAAAAACATGCTTTGTTATGAACAGATATGTAGTGATCATGTAAAAACACTGATGTAAAATGCAAAATGGTATGAAAAAAAAAAATATAGATTATATATATATATATACTTTTTTTTAGAAAGTTATTGCAACACATTGAAAAGGATCTTACCTTCAACAACAGACAGACAGTCCACCAAACCAGAGCAGAACAGAAACACAAAGTACAGCAGTTGACACATTTCCATTCCTCGATGTTATTAACAACAAGAACAATTATTATTCATGACGAATCGAAACGAAAACGCTCTGTTAAAAGGAAGAGCCTGTGGTAACTCGAGCCACACTGCTCTCGTGCTCTTGTTTTGAGCTCTGAGCTGGTAAACAACCCGTCTGTCTGTGCACTGATAGCAGAAAGTCCCTTTGCAGTGACGCCGCGTCCTCCGGGTCCTAGAGACAGTTCCCTCACAATGATGCACGGTGCATGCGAATTATAATGGACGAAATGGCCGGAATGTTCCAGCTAACGATAGATTGGGTTTATTTGAATAATAATACAAATAATAATAACAACAACAACCATTAATATATTATGAAATATTGTAATAAAAACACAAATATTTCACATTTGACAAAAGTAATTGATATTAAGAAAATTCTCTCTATATAAATGTATTATTTAAATGTTAGTATTAGTTAATAATAAAATATAAATTGAATATCATATATATATATATATATATATATATATATATAGAAATTATTTGTATTAATATGTAATAGTTCTTATAGAATTATGTATTATGTTTAAATATACATTTTATATAGCATAATTCATTCAAATGTATCAAACTCTACAATTATGATTATTATTATATAAATTATAATGATGATTATTAGTTATTATGTGATTTTTTTATATATATTATTATATTTGTATTATGCCGTCTATGAATATTATAATATTATGCGTTTTGATTTAATTTTCAGATGACACAACCTGGCCTTTTTATGAGACACATTTCCTTAGCTTGGCAAATTACGATTTAAAGCAAATTCATAATATTAGCCTCTTTTCTGATGAAAGCTGTGTGACTGAATGAGCTTCCATGCATCATGGGTTTGCAAGGAATGAAATAGGCCAAAACCCTGTACACAAATTCATCATTACAGCACTATCAATTCATTCACTTCATCCATTCTACGAATCTGACAGAGCAGAACTGCATTAGGAGATCAGGAATAATAATGAGTGCCTCTATTATTTACAACGAAACAGAGGGTCCCCTGAGGAGACACTATTAAAAGGAGGAAAACGCAGGGTTAATTAGTGATGTGACACAATCCGTGTAGGCTACTGAAACTGCTGTCCTCTCAGAACGGATGAAAAACACACACAATCTCTATTGTTTTGTTCATAGTTATACTCTTTTTGTCAGTGTCTCAGTGGTACATTCTGGACAACTCTGTACTAACATTCCTCTTTGTCAAGTACAGTACACAACTATTATGAATACAACGGTCTGTTTTTAATAGTTCAGCACAGTTTAGCACAGTAACTGCAGTGTCGCATTTTCTGCTTTAACTCATTAGTTACAGTTCACCATTAATCTCTAGGTACCATGTCTTGATGTATCAGATAGATATGCATTTTTTGACATTTTGGAAGGTATGTTGAGGGTTTTCACTGCATTTTGGAGCATGGAAGTAAGCAATCAGATTTAATTAGACCAGATTGTCTGCTTCCTTTCCATGGTACTCCTGCCAGGTTAACTGACCCACTTTCTTTTCCAAGAAATTACACAAAGTTTCGAACCCCAGTCAAGTTGGCAGCTTTTTTTGTGAGTTGTGGACCCAAGCAGATGAGTGGGAGAGAGCTCAGGCATTCAGTGACTACAGCGTTTCTTTGTTTTAAAGTTGGTTGATTATGTCCTTGCTGTTTTTGACATCCAGCTATTACTCCTGGTTGTCCCAGGAATTCTACCTGAAAATGAAATTCTGTTTGACTGGTTTGTTTAAAAAGTGTTATTTAAATAATAATAATAATAATAATGTGAACATACTGAAAGCTTTCAGAATAGAACACACATGCATTGTCCTAAACAATATAGTGAATAAACATGATAAAACTTCCTATTTACTCCAAAATAGAACCAAGGACAAACAGTACTATACCATTACCATGAATAGTATACAGTCCAAAGATTCATTAAAATCAAACATAACTACTGTGAATAAAAAAATAACTAATCCAGTGGCAGATTAACTTACCATATCTTCAGTCAATACTGGTTCTCCATCCGAGGTAAACAGGAAGTGAACTGTGGGTTAGTATGGAGAAGACAGAAGATAATGAGTGGAAAAAGCCAAGCCTGTAAAAAGACTTCCATATATTTAATTTGCACACACAGATGTCTCGCATTCAACAACTCTCTTTTAAAATAGCCTGAATTAATAAAGAAACAAAGAATAGTCCATTTATAGCCCATGTGAAAGTTATGAGCTCTTGTTTTTTTAGTGGCAAAAAGACTAATTTTCTCCAAATCGTTTTTCTCATTATAAATAATAAAACATTATTTCAAATATTTCTAAAATTAATATAAAATGTTATATTTCATCAAACAATAATACAGACTGCTCTTGAAGTCTTTTTTTTTTTAAATAAATAAATAAAAAACTGTCTATTGTAATATACCTGCACACACAATTGTCAATTTATATATTTTTATTCCTTATTTACTTGTTCTATTTTTATTTTTATTATCTGTGTTTTTTGTTCTGTCACTGTCATTCTGTTACACTGTGGAAGCTTCTGTCACGAAAACAAATTCCTCGTATGTGTAAACATACCTGGCAATAAAGCTCATTCTGATTCTGAATGTAATTATTCATGTTTTCCCCCCAGATTTTATACATTTTAAAATGCCACCCGCCCAAGAAATCCACCTGAAGGTCCTCTAGACTCTAAAATAATCAATATGTCATTTATAATACAATTGCAGCATTCATAGAGGAGTGCGAATCACTTCAACGTCTGCTGTAAACTCAGACCATCTGCTCCACTGATGGCTACTGGGATACCCAGCTGCGTCCTAACACTGTGTCCTGTGACACACAGGAGTGTTGCACAGCAACTGAGTACATATTCCAACCATGAATCATGAACTAGCCCTGTGCTGAGGGCAGAAAATGCACACTTAACCTGGGAGAGGAGCCTCAAATGTGGCATAAAGCAGGCACTCCTCCCCTGCTGTTATCGTAGGGCAACTCTACTGTTGCCGCAAAAACCATTACATCACTGTTTGATGCATTTACCCCTGCAGTGGAAACCTGAGTATAGAAGTGGCTTACACAAAGACGCAATGAGGATGAAAAAGGGGTACAGAGTGAGAAGTAAAGACGCAAAAATATCAAACCAGTGGGATAAAATGATAAAATATGTAGTGGGAATATAAGAAAGGATTAGGATAGAATGAACCACAGGAAAAGAGTGAATGAGAGCAGCTGCTGTGTGTGTATCAGAAGATGCTGTGAGGTTGGTGTGAGGCAGCTCAAACCGGTTTGGGCTTTTGTGAAGTGTTATCACAGCGAACCGTGAGCCACCACTCCACATAAAAACAACGAGTCTCTGAGGTTGCAGAGATTGGCTATCAAAACATCAATCAGCTAGAAATAAGCAGCATTCATTTTCTGGCACACAGTGCCAAATGTTTGTTATTGGGATCACAGATCAGTGTTAGCCAGTAAGTTCTAAAAAATTATTCGATCTTTATTTATTAAATATATAAAACACATCAATATACAAGAATGAATCACATTTGGTTCAAAAGAGAGATTTGGCTGAAAATGTATGTACCATCCTCAGATGCTTGCTGAGTCTGTTTGTCCCCGCCTGCAGTGTGCTCTATTTCAGAAATCACCACCCATCCAGAAACAATGGCATCTTTCAGCTATTTCAGATTTAGATGTGCTACACTTACAGAGCTGCTGTCTTCGAGAATTATCTGGAGTTGGTGTTTGATTTTGGCTGGTGAAGTAGACAAGTTTTCTTTATTATCCATCTTGTATTGCACAACAAAGGACTGTTATTTTTCCTTGCGAATAGTTTCCACCCAATATGGCGATGAAGAGCCAGCTTTTCCAGATCAATAATGACTAATCTATTTTTTGTGCTCAATTAAGCCTGTAACTGCAATAATGCAACCCTGATCTGTGACGACACTGGATTAATCTGTCCTTAGTGCATCAATGAAGACCTGAGGAAGGAAGACTCCATTTAGGACAAACCTTCTGTGAATATCCTGAAGGTCTGTAGATAAATTCAAAGGGTCAAGTAGGGGTCGTATGGAATCACACTTCTTGAGCAGCTGGAGCAGTACAATCACCCTAGTGAACAGGCCTGAAAGAGCGCCATGGAAACGGGGTTCTATTAGCAAACTCAGCCAATCAGGATTCAGGACATCGCCTAGACAACAAACGAGAGACATAATTGGCACGTAAACATACAACAACGACTACATACAAACAATAAATAAATATTACAGATCATATTAATTGTAATTATAAGGTTTTTGATTCAATTACAACAGAGCATCAGGAAGTTAATTAGTGATAATTCATGCAATAATAAAGAAAAACAATCATTATGGTTATCTGGCAAATCTTATATATACCTAATTGAAGTTGCATACAAATTGAGAGATTCTCTTTGACAATGGCTGCACTGTTTCGGGCCCAGTGCTCGAGGTTCTTGGCGAGAGTGGAGGATTCTGGGTAATGTTTAACTAGATTCAACAGGTGTGGCAACAGGCCCTCTGAGATCACAGATGGCTCTGCAAACACATTTGCTTCATCTCGCTCATACAAACTGCGACATCTGACCAACATAAGAAAACAACAACCAAATAAACACAAAAAAGTAAGAGACAGAAGAAAACAGGAAGTTTGTATGTGTTTCCTTTGCAAAAGCCAGGTAAAATATAATAAATGGTATAAAGATTAAAACCTATATAAGATTTTTTAAATCTACAACACCATTCAAAGGTTTAGGGTCTGTAAGATTTTTTTAATGTTGAAGTCTCTTATGCTCACTAAGGCTGCATTTATTTGATTCAAATAAATGTAAATACATTTTTGATGTAAAAACAACAATATTGTGAAATATTATTCAAATGTAAAAACATTTCAGCAGCAATTACATCAGTCTTCTCTGTCACATGATGCTTCAGAAATCATTCTAATTTGCTGATTTAGTGTTCAAGAAGCATTTTTTTATCATCACTGTTGAAAACTGATGTGCTGCTTAATATTTTTGTGGAAACGATGATACTTTTTTCCAGGCAGAAAGTTCAAAAGGACAGCATTTAAAATATATAAGAATAAGATATTTTTTTTGCTGACCCCAAAATTTTGAATGTTAATGATAAAAACTCTAAAACTGAATGTGGGCTTAAAACTATGATAGTAAGTAAAACTATGACAATAGTAAACAAAATTACTGTCTAATGCTACATAGTTTTCACATAATAGTGCATACCATTTCTATAATAATATACACAAATAGGAAATAATGATTGGCCTGAATAATTTTCATTTCTGAATGTGGGACTGACATACTGTGTCTCTTTGGCCTCCGTCAGTACAGCATTCAGATCACAGTCTGGTAAGTGGCACACTAAGGCCTCCAAAGCACCACTTGCATCCCAGAATTCCTCCAAGAGCAGGTCCAGCAGTGAGCGCAGAGCCCGGTTCACCTGCATGTAGAAGCATTTCTGTGGATCTTCTGGACGTCGGACAGAACAGCAGAGCAGAGAGGCAAAGACAGCCGTCTTCGCTCTCACCTGTGGACTCTCGTCCTGAAGCAGGTAGATACCTGTGCTGATCAAGCTTCAAAATACAGACGGGATGGAAATTTAGTTCTACATCAAATACTTCCTTCACAAAATCATTAAATAATAAACAACAAATCTAAAACCAAAGCCTGAACCAGATGCAGAAACATGACCTTGCAATGAATCTGCAAATCTAACTAGACAGAAATATAAAACTTCCTGACAATGCACTATTTATTTTGGTTCTAGTCCTTCCCTGTCTAGCTCACTGCCCAAACTGAGTTGTTCAAAGCACACATTTTTAATATACCTGGTACAGAGCTCATTATGCGTGAGGATGCCCGTCAGGCTCCTGGTCACTACGTGGACGCCACACAGACACAGAGCCTGTGCACAGGCTGTTCTGAAGGCCTCGGGAGCTTCAGGACATCTGTGCTTCTCTAATAAGCTACACCAGCGCTGGAGCAAAGACAAGTCCACACTGAGAGAATGAGAGAGTGACAGACAGGCAAACAGAGTAGAGTTTGAGCACCGGTAAATCCATGAGCCATCTGTGAAGACCTTTGGATTTCTCAGAAACATAAGTTGACATAAAACAGAACAAACACCTTTAGCGGTCCCCTGAGTGGAACAAAAATATTACAAAAGGAAAAAAAAAAGAAAAAGAAAAAAAGAGAAATCTGGAATTGACTGGAGCCAGCCCTGAATCTGAGGTCTACTCTCATTCGAAAACACTGTCAGCTCTTATTTTTGAAGATCACTATTGAACGCGTCGCAAGATATTCAAAAAGTCTGGGGTCAGTAAGAATTTCTTTTGAAAGAAATTAATAGTTTTATTCAGCAAGGATGCATTAAATTGATCTAAAGTGACAGTTAATACTTTTACATTGTTACAAATGACTTCTAGTTCAAATAAATGCTGTTCTTTTGGCCTTTCTATACATTAAAAATATAGAAAAATAGAAAAAAATGAATCAGTTTTCACAAAAATATTAAATATAAACAAATATAAAGAACAATAAGACTATCTAATAACATCAAGCTAAACACATTAACATTTGGCTGCATGACAGGTGAGCTTATGTGCCATGGAGATCAGCACAGGTCCTCCTCTGTCTGACTCCAGATCAGTAAACAGAAGCTCCGCACACTCCTGCAGCCATGTCTCCTCAAACCCTGAAGGATAGGGACCAGGCAGGGCAAGACTCTCTTCCTCTGGGGTCATAACCTCAACTAATGCTGTCAAGAATGCTCCCTTGTACTACACGTTCTGGTCCAACAGCGCCTTCTTCAGGTTGGCCTTCAGATGATGGATGCTGTTATTAAAAGAGAACCTTTCCAGACATTGTAAAAAAACAACAACAACCACCACACCCATCCACTATTCTTGCAATCATGATCTTTTCGTTCTTATGAGAAGGGATTTAAAAGCATTATAAGGCTGTGGGATTTTTCTCATGACATGTAGAGCAGTTTGGTGTTTCACTGACCTCACATGAGGGCTGGGCGGAAATCCTGGCCAAGTCCAAACCCAGTCTGTTTTTAAAGATTACTGAATACAATGTCTAACACGCCCCCCTCACTCAAGAACATGAAGGGTGTAATAAGATCTACAGCCTGATTTCAGGGCAACGTAGTAAACGGATCTTGATTGTTTTAATTTCCTTCAGTTGTTTCTGGTCAACATTTGAGACTGGCTCAAATGACCAGCCTATGATATAAAGTGAGGCTATAGCAATAGGTACAGAAAAAAACACTTGTTATTTTAATGTTAAATCAAGACAATTAATTGAAATAATAATAATAACAAATATATGAATAAATTAATGTTTTCAATATTCAAATTCATTGTATGCAAAAGGCTTACTGGGATCTCTGCTTTGCTCCAGATGATTTGTATAAGGTGCTGCTGGAGGTCTGAATCGAAAGGAGCACCAGTAACTTCCCAAACCTCACTGAGGCACTCTTTCAGCCTCTTCAGCCAAATGGTAAACACTACAAAACACATATGCATACAACTTTTGTCACTGCAGTCATGTATGGACCTAGCAATCTACAGAATGACACGTGATGATAGAGAGCTTGTACCTTGAAAAACATAGTAATGACAGTCAAGCTTTTCTTCACAAAGAGCTGAGATGAAGGGGAACAACCCATTCAGGAGAAGACAAGTCTGATAAAACAAAATAAAGAGTAAGTAATTATATGTTCCACTTTGGATCATTCTTAGAAAAAGCAATCTATGCACTGCTTATGTACCCTTTTTTTTGCCATGGTGACTGACAAGAATGTCATTTCTGCAGCAAGTTAACAACCCCCTGCATACAGCCAGTCTGTCCACTCCATCCTGACATCTGGGACCACAGTCCACCTGTAGCTCACCTACTGTCAATCTCCACGCTTCTGAGATGCACAAAACTCACATGTTATGAAAACAGGCAACTAACCAAGCAAATGAGTTAATCGTACGTTATAGATAAATTAAAGACATTTATAATGTTACAAAAGATGTATATTTCAAATAAAAGCTTTCTGTTTATCGAAAGCAGCACAAAGAATTTTAACATTGATAATAATAAGAAATGTTTTTGAGCAACAAATCTGCGTATTAGAGATTAAAATTCAACGTTGCCTTCACAGGAATAAATTACATTTTAAAATACATAAAAATTAAAAAACGTTATTTTAAATTTTTACAATTTTTGCAATATGACAGTTGTACTATATCTTTTTTTCAAATAACGAATTTAAAAACATATTTTTCTAATATTTTGAAAGGTAGGATAAATAAATATAATATAAAATAGATATTCTATAAATAAGTACGTAGGTATACTAACCAACACTGAAGTACTGATGGCATGCTACATTCATTAACTACGAAGGCCGTCTCGTTTAATTCTAGGTTGAGGACACTTCGTATATTCATCCTACAGAGGATGCGACCTCCGGAGGGCGCAGCCTTCCTGCAGAGTTTAGCTCCAACTTGCCTCAACACACCTGCCTTTAAGTTTCTAGTATGCCAAGTAAGAGCTTGATTAGCTGGTTCAGGTGTGTTTAATTGGGGTTGGAGCAAAACTCTTCAGGACACCGGCCCTCCAGGACCGAGTTTGGGCACCCCTGCTCTAGACAGTGTTGGGGAAAGTTACTTTTAAAAGTAATGCATTACAATATTACTCCTTAAAAAAGTAACAAATTGCGTTACTTAGTTACTTTTTATTTAAAGTAATGTATAACGTTACTTTTGCATTACTTTTTGTCACCTGGGCTGGGCTTGCTTATTTTTTATTTTTAATAACAAAAAACACACACAAGTTAGGGCCCTATCTAGTGTACCACGATTTCTACAATATTATTAAGCGGCAAAAACTCAACGTTAAGAAATGTTTCAAGAGCACCAAATCAGCATGAAATAAATTACAGTCACAAACTTCTTAAATTGTAATAATATTTCACAATATTACAAATTTACTGTGCTTTCATCAAATATATGTTTTTTCCCCTCAGGCATGCCCAGCGTTCTCGACTGGACAGATGATGATTTCTCCATGTGCTTTGGTGTGAACCACCTTGGCCACTTCTTACTGACAAACCTTCTTCTCCCGCGACTGAAAGAGAGCTCACCGAGCAGAGTGATCACCCTCACCTGCTCCAGCTACAAGTACCAGAAGCTAGACTTCCAAGATCTCAACTACAACCTGTTCCCGTTCTTCACCTACTGCCGCAGCAAGCTGGCCAACATTTACTTCACACAGGAGCTCGCTCACATGATGGAGGGGAAAGGAATTACTGCGTATGCCGTTCACCCTGGTGAGATCTAAAATATAGCCCGACTTTCTCTATAACTGCAGAAAAGGTTGCTATGTGGTTGCTAGGGTGTTCCTGGTGTCCCTAAGTGTGAGCAGTAATAATAGTGATCTTCACCTTATCTGAAGGTGATTATTGTGAAGTTCATCTTGTATCTTTTGTCTCATTCAGGTTACGTTCAGAGTAACTGGACCTGTCATTACTCAGTTCTGTTCCGGATCCTGGTGCAGGTGGTGATGTTCATGTTTTTTGTTTCGTGTGAGGCTGGGGCGCAGACGGTGGTCTACTGCGCTGTATCAGACGAGGTGCTGCCGCACAACGGAGGATACTTCACTGACTGTCGGCGGGCTCATCTAAGAGCCTTCGCTAGAGATTCTGGAGTAGCAAAAAAACTTTGGGAGGCCAGTGAGAGACTAGTTAAACTGGCCTGATAACAGTATACAGTGCTTTTTGTTTGCATGTTTGAGAAGCATACTGATTCTTATGTTGCTTATGGAAAACCATGTTAGTTTTTGGTTTGTATGAATGTGATTTTTATGGCACTGTTTAGAGTTTTGACGTTGTGTGTGTGCTGTTTTTTACAGTGTAATTTATTTGATGATGATTGATGTGGTGTTTGACATGCAGTATTGAATTGCCCATGTTTTCATTAAACACTTTAATTAGTGAAGAATGTAAATAGGTCACTACAAATTCCATTTAAGAATATGGAGGGTGACCATTTAGAAATGCAAACAAATCAAAGCACGAAAGCGCACAAATCTAGCAGAATTACAAAGGTTGCATTAATGCATTTGGCATATGCTTTTATCCAAAGCAATTTACATTTCCTTTTGCATTCATACATTTGATCACTCCATGTTAAAGGTGACATTTTTAAACTTTAAAAAAAGTACAAAAAAAAAGTAAATTTTTCCCCAAGGTAGAATTTTTTATTAAAATGCATTTTAAATGCTAATGGAAAATAAAGATAAAAAAGTGGTTGAAAAAGCCATTCCCATTTGCATTACAGCTTACTGAGAAGTGTAAAATGTCTCCTTCAAAACCCTCAATATTAAATATTACGTGATTTAAAGATTGCACTTATTTCCATAACCTGGCAGGCCTGGAAATGAGTTTTAAAAATCCCTCAAATAGAATGCAACAGTCAGGTTAAGGAAGTAAAAATCCCATTCATTTTCTCCATAGTGGAATTGATTTTTAACATGTTGAAATAGACCAACTGGGAGCTATGAGGTTGTTGATTGATGGTATAAGCCATCAGCATGCATTATTTCAAGTAAAAACCCTTTAAAAACATATTGCTTGTCAATTTTGAATACATGCACAAGATTCTTCAGTATTTAAATCATTTATTTATATCTTTTGAACACATTTGCTTAAGTCAGGGAATACACAGCATGTTTGAGAACAGAGAAATAACAAGAGTAAGAATCCTCAGAAATCAAAGAATATTATCTTATACAGAAAAACAAAACTAACAGAGGGCTACTGTGAGAAAACTCAACTTCAGAGAAACTATCCGGTACGGTTTCCAATCAGAGAAGTGATAGTGATAAGTCGAACGGAAACAGTCCTGTGCTTAAAGATGGACAATGTTGTCGGTGCAGGTAAAAATACTCTGGATCTCCACTATCTACTAAGCTGTAATGGTTAAGTTAGTCATAAAAGTCAGAAACAATCCATGATTTTATTGGCCATTCAGGTTTGGTGAATATCCGCAAAGCACAAACAGCAGATCTATGTCACTGCCAATACAAATTTAGCTTTAAAGTGATTTCGAAAAAACCCATGCATATTTAGCTAATATTGCAAGTGCTTCTCTGAAGTCAAGCAGTCTCATACTAATGAGAAATCTTATAGTCGTTAATATAAATATCAGTCACCCTGCACTGACAACAATGAGCTTAATACAAAAGCATGCCATAGAAATATCACCATTTCCATAATCACCGACATTTCGTAGCTATAGTCTTCGTCATTTACACAGCCATTGTCAGCATAATTTTGGGACAAAAATATTATATATATATATATATGCACTTAACAAAGCTGGTAAAACAGATAAGAGAAAGGTTTAGGTAAACCAGCATTCAATAGAAAAAATTAAATCAAAAAGATAAATAACACCAAACCTAGTGTTCAAGTGACTATCATGCAAAGAAATTCCAGCTGAAATGCATGTAAACTGCAGTTTCAATACTGTGTGTCCTGTTTTAATAGCGATGTGCACTTTCACTCTTCAACATGTTTATTTTCGTTGCTAAACACACAGAGAACAGTACACTTTTTACATGCCGTTTTATTTTGTTTGTGTTTTTTTTGTGAGATTTTTTTAGGGAGCGGACAGGTGTGGAACTCTGATCACTCGTATAAACACAGGTGAAGTTTTGCATGAGATAAAGCATTGAAGAATGAGACGCAACTGTAACAGAAGCAGAACACCGGAGCACAAACACAAGTACACGTGCCTCACAGGGTCGCTTTGTTTGAGAGAAATATTTTGATTGGATTTTAAAAGATTGCCTCTTTTTATCTGTGTGAGAGACAATTTCTTTCAAATAATAACAACAAAAAAGATCAGTAGTCATTATCGATATGAAGTGGCTCAAAGCTAGTGAGTTCAAACATTAGACAAAGTGTCGTACACAAACGTAAGAAGCATGTAAGAAGTTGCGATAATAATATCAAATAAATAAATACAACCCGAGGACACAAGGTCAATAAAATAGTCACACTGACACGTCAGTTCACCACGGTTCAAACCCTTTAGAAGTAGAGTGAAACCAGTATAAAGTTGTACGAGGTGTGACATGCACTCCATAAACTATATCTTACCATCTTCTGACATATAATACTATTGCTGCCGATTTCGACTACAAACCTCTTCATTCTTCGAAAGACTTTCATGCTCCTTGCACTTTGCCCATCCAAAGGGTAAACACACTTTAAAAAGGATCCAGGGTAACAACATTTTCACTCTCCTTAAAAGTCTCACACACCGACGACAAACAAACTATATATAAACTCTCAAAAATAGAATGAGTAATATCGATAAGTCAACGCTATATGTCATGAAAAATATAAAATGTCAAAATATAAGAGCAAAAAAAACTCAAAAAAGCAAAAATATGCAACTCCGTCAGCTAAAAACCCACCAAAATTCCTTCAATCAGCTGCTCTCCAATGGCCTCCAATGACTTTAAACCTCCACTATGACTAGTGCTGAGATACAATAGTTGTTTTTTTGAGAACTATCTCCTCTAATGATGTCACTGGATGTCCACATCTTTCCATAGTCCGAGAAAACACACGAATGAGGAGGTCATCATCTGGTATGCCTACTGTATGTTCAGCTGAGGTATGGCTTTTAGTTTGATTCAGTCGGTCCAACCTAACACCACTGGCTCAGCTGAAGAAGAAACGAAAAAAATGTGAAATATCGCAACACTAAAATCTAATACTAACGTTGCAACAGGTTACATATAAAGCACAATTGTGGCTTTTCAGAACAAGGAATTGTTCATCCAATATGAAGTTCGCCAACTGACAGCAAATCTGCTGAATTATTCCAAATCTGAGCAAATGATCCGAGAAATAATGACTAAAGCTGGAAGACCCCCGAACGTCACGTCGTTCTTTATCAGGCTCTGGTAGAATCTGCCCCAAAACAGTCACACATACCAACAAATGTCCACTAACGTTTGAACACACATGGACAGACGAAGCGTTGGATGTGAATCACACTGAGAAGCCTGTACATAAACGGCTTTGGATATAATGAAAAAATCATGCTCTCCAAAAATGTTCGGAAAAGAAAAGGCATAAATTACAAATCATTGGCATCCAGAACGTGAATTGTGTAAGTGACACATACAATTGCTTTTGTATTTAATACTAATAACAACAGTAAGAACAATATTAATAATAAGAATAAGAATAACAGTTATTATTGAAAATCTACACACTGTAAGTGAGGACGGCGAATCAGTGTAACATTACTCACACTGGGAAGGTGCGACAGAAAGCATGGCATTTCACAGACGACTCGCTGAGGCCTTATTATCTGTACTAATCAAAGACTGTCCAACTCCACACAGCACATGTGCACAACGAGGGGAGTCTCTGCACGGGTGTAAAGATACAGGGACGGTGTCTGGGAGGGAGGGGGTAAAGCTGAAGGTAAGACAGAAGACGATGCACAAAAGTGATTGGCAGGTGAGGGGGCCGGGCCCATTGTGGGAGGGTCAGGCACTGCAGACTCACAGCTACCCATCACTGGGCTCGCTTTCCTTCCTCCCTCTCTCCAACTTCCCCCCTCCCTCACTCTCTCTATTTTACTCTTGCACTCTCCATTTCTGGCTGGGCTCTCTTGTTAGATGTGGCTACAATGAGCTCAACCTGAGGAAAAATAAGGTTGTTAGCGGTGTCGTCACTTTGTACAACTACACAATCTGTTCAAGAGTGTGCAATGAGCAGACCAAGGCTACACTGAAGAAAAAAAAAAAAAAAATTGGTGTAGAAACAAATTTCACTCGAAAATTGCTAGTAAATTTCACAAATAATTACAAAGAAATACTGAATTAAACAGAATTTTTTGAAGTAGAAAGACTGAAATAGTATTTTCTAGAAAAACATACTCCAACAATATGTTTTATTAACAACTTAAAAAAAAAAAATTTTTATAGTGTAATTGTCACTAGGGCTATATCTCAGTCACTGTGAAAAGACCAAAATGTGTTTTCTCTAACAGTGGTGAATTATATAATACCAGCATATTTTAAGGCAACTATATAATGAAGACGCTGCTAAATATTTTTGTGAAAACTGTGATACATTTTGTTCAGGATTCTTCAAATTCAAAAGAACGTCTGACTGCAAACTTTTTAAACGGTAGTGTACAAAATTTTCTTATTTTAAGGCACAAGGAGAATTTGTTAAAGACTTAAAAGAGATAGTTCACCCAAAAATGAAAATTCTGTCATTAATTACTCGCCCTCATGTCGTTCCAAACCCGTAAGACCTCCGTTCATCTTCGGAACACAATTTAAGATATTTTTGATGAATTCTGAGAGCTCTCTGACCCTCCAAAACAGCGATGTAATTACCACGATCAAGGTCCAGAAATGTAGCAAGGAGATCGGTAAAATAATCCATGTTACATCAGCGGTTCAACCATAATATTACAAAGCTACGAGAATACTTTTTGTATGCAAAGAAAACAAAAATAAGACATTATTCAACAATTCGTATCCTCCGCGTCACCCTAGCGCCATTTTGGAGAGTATCCACTGAACACAAACAGCATATTCTATTTTTTTTGGATACTCTTTTTGGTATGCTATTCATTTTGGATACTCTCCAAAATGGCGCTAGGGTGGGGAGACGAATTGTTGAATAAAGTCGTTATTTTTGTTTTCTTTGCATACAAAAACTATTCTCGTAGCTTCGTAAAATTATGGTTGAACCGCTGATGTATCATGGATTATTTTATCGATCTCCTTGCTACGTTTCTGGACCTTGATCGTGGTAATTACATTGCTGTCTATGGAGGGTCAGAGAGCTCTAAGAATTAATCAAAAACATCTTAATTTGTGTTTTGAAGATGAACGGAGGTCTTACGGGTTTAGAACGACATGAGGGTGAGTAATTAATGACAGAATTTTCATTTTTGGGTGAACTAACCCTTTAAATAACAATAATATGTCTATACGAGGATGTACCTTCACTGTAGAGGGGCGGCTGGAGCTCCCGAACAGTGGAAATGGACATTCTGCCATTTAGAGTCCCGGCGATGCCACACCCTCGTCTCTTCCGATTGGCTGCTGCGCGGCCGGCCCTGCCCATCCACATATTGCGTGAGGCGGATGTAGGCGATGCAGGCGGCCTCATCTCCAATCAGGTGCACGTGAGGGTTAAGGATGGTGGTGTGGATGGGCTTACTGTTCTTAGACAGCACTATGACAGAGTGAGAAACGGCCACACTTTAATGAACAGACATCATGACCGACAGGGTAGAAGTGAAGAGTAATCCGACTCCGCTTACAGTTCTCAAAGTAAAATCTGTGGAAGTCCATCCCCTCCACCAGGTTTCCCAAGGCCTCAGGTTCAAAGCAGGTGAGTCCAGGGTCGCAGATTTTACTGGAAAGAATTAAAGCAATTGTTTCAGTGCCATCTCATTTACTGTCAGTTGTGGGTAAAGTTAAAAATACACCTCACACACAAGTAACTTACGCATAGGCTTCAAAGTCGCCATTGTTGATAGCCTCAATAAGCTGTTCAGTGATTTTGATGATCTCCTGTTTGCGTGCTGTAGAAAGAGGAAGTCGGCGTTAACAGAAGCCAGCTTGTATTAGTATGCGCATGAAGGAGGAGCATTATGGGTAAGCAGTAATATCTTTTAAAGCACCACAAAACATGTTCCACAGGTTCACTCTAATTTATTCAGCAGACTCATTTCTAATGTGTCTTTTTGCATCAGTACACAAGCTGCTGTGACAGACAGAAGCCCACACACACACACAAATAAAAAAAAAAACAGGTTGTCTGAACATCCACCCAAACAGATTTCAGCCACCTACACTACCGTACGTGCTCTCACACACAGCATTTCCTTTCCAGCTCTGTTAGTCACAGGACTCCAAATACCACAGCTCAAATAACTGAAGGTTAAAACACAACTCAATCTCTAGAGGCAACACAATTCAAAGATTCTCTGTAAGACCAGGTTGTCAGTCACAAGTAGTTTGTTTATATTATTTAAATATACTGTTTAATGGTTATTTTTGTGTGAAAAAAAAGACAAAATATGATACTTATGACAGAATGGTAAGAAGTTTCCAAGAGAGTTTTATTGTGACAAAAATATCATAGATTTCTTATAATAATTATAATAATAAGTAATGCTTCTTGAGCAACAAATCAGCATATTAGAATGATTCCTGAAGGATTATTTGACACTGAAGACTGGAGTAATGACTGCTGAAAACTTTTACTATTTTAAAATATTCAAATAGAAGACTTTTTATAATTGTGATAATATTTACTGCATTTTTTTTATCAAATAAATGCAGCCTTGGGAGCCATAAGAGACTTTTCAAAAACAAAAAAAATCTTACCAATCCCAAAAGTCTGAATAATAGTGTGTATCTGTATATACAGTGGGTACGGAAAGTATTCAGACCCGTAGTTGGCAATGTCACTTTTTAAAGGACCACTATTCGAACACGTAATAACGCATGTCCATGACATCATGATATTCGAGACGATAATGGTATCGTTTTCAAAAACTTGCACTTTGAAACCGGTTTCCAAAAGTTTGCATTTTCAGGCCCCCAAAACACCATTGTCTTGTAAATGAACAGCCAAAATGCATACGTTTTCCATTTTTAGTTTAAAATGGAATTTTGTGTAAACACCCCCTTAATGTTTCACAGAGAAAAAAGAAATGTATACATGCTTGGAAGAACATGAAGGTAAGGTGAGTAAATGATGACAGAATTTTCTTTTTGTTTTGTTGAACTATCCCTCTAAATAAATTCAGAGAAACCACCAGAAATAGGTGAAACAATCAGGACACAGAAAACGGCAAGATTAGATATGATTAAAAACAAAGTATCCCTTTATTAATGAGAACACAAATTGTGAACATAATCTCCAGTAATGCCACTCATTTAATGGCACTACTTTACTAATTTTAGTGCTGATCTGTGTCACACACATGCAAAAGGGGATTATGGGAAGGTGGTGAGGTCATGGCAGTCAGAGGGCACTTACTGAAGAGAGCGGGGGAGGGGCCTGGAGGTGTGTGGGCGGAGTCAGGCTGGGTGCTGGGGTTTGACTGAGCTGAACTGTTATCTATAAGCTTTCCTGTGAGACGCCCCCCAACATCACACAGAGAGAGATGGGACACAGAAAGCATACTGACATCAATAGGGTTTTTGCAGCCGTTCTCAAGCCTAGAAAATGCCGGAGGAGCGAGATGCCTTCATGTAAAGTGTGGTGGTTCTAGCTAAGTGTTACTTCAGTATACATGACCAACGAATGAAATGAAAAAAATCCTATTTTTAAATGAAAGATCCTTAATGGAATATGTCACCCAAAATAAAGCAATAAGCCCCAAGAAGCCGTGGTTTACAGTGAATTTATAACAGCTAAGGGGCGTTGTTAGGCACGACGCGAAGCAGAGTCTTGTTGCTTTTATAAAACGGTTATTCCATATATGTAGTAAGGTTTCACAAAATAAAAGAGGGCAAATAAAGTGTAATGATATTAATAAAAAAATTATTCTTCCACCAAACAATGTAGTTCCTCAGAATCAGTGGTTGTTGCATGTTTGTAGAGTAATTTACAACAGCTTCGAACGTGGCTCAGCCAATCAGAATCAAGGACCGGAACTACACTCTTAAAAATAAAGGTGCTTCACGATGCCATAGAATAACCTTTTTGTCTAAATGGTTCCTTAAAGAACCTTTAACATCTGAAGAACCTTTCTGTTTCACAAAAAGTCCTTTGTGGTGAAAAAAGGTTCTTCAGATTATAAAAAGGTAAGAAAGAGATGGTTCTTTAAAAAACCTTTGACTGAATGGTTCTTTGTGGAACCAAAAATGGTTCTTCTATGGCATCGCTGTGAAGAACCTTTTGAAGCACCTTTATTTTTAAGAGTGTATGCGTTTTGTACACAAAAATGATATGCCAGTTGTGCAGGTCTAACTTCATGAAGTTACGAGAAACTTTAGAAATGTTCATTTTTGAATTAAGTGTTTCTTTAAAACAAGACAAGTATCTGAGAAGCAAAACTAGACTTGCTTTCAGAAAATCTATCTTGAATATAACTGTATTTTGTCTTGTTCCACTGGCAGATTTTTTCATTGGTTTTAAGCATAAACATCTCTGAATGTTTTAGTTCATAAGTTCTAACAGCTATTTTCTGCAGTGCATGAAAAGTGTTTGTATTACTACAAATAGGAATGAAGCAAGACAAAGACTGAGCAAAGATGACAACCATAACTTAATCAGTTCAGAGAATATAATGAAACGGAACACAAAAAACACAAGAAAATAGAAAGTGTTACTAAATCAAATCAACAAACTAGACTATTTAAACCATAAAAGGACCATTAAAAGGCATGCTAGCTGGTTGCAGAAATCAACCTGACCGCTTAAAAAACTGAGTTTGAAAATACTTATTTACAGTCCTTATAAACTGCCTTTATTCAAACAGAAGTGCTTTACAAGCTAGCATAGATATTATTAAGCTAACTTCTCACAGCTGCGCCATAATTCATCACTCAACTATTGCAGCCAGATATTTCCCAACACCAATTAGAAGTAACAAACACACACACACACACACACACTTCTCACCGTCTCTTTTGTGTGATAGCGAAAACAAGACATCACGCTCCTGTCATGCACTGTCTGCCCAGAAATTTGGCGGCAAGTTTTCTGTTCATACGCACACTCGCTCTGAAATAGCCAGGGTCTCTGTTTCCCACTGAGCTTAATTATAGCGCAAGGTGCCCTTGCCTTGCTCTGGGGCAGAGAGAGCTGACACAGACACTGAAACTAGGAGTGACACCAACCCAGAACAGAGTTTTCGAGCCCAGAAGTGAGCACTGAATAAGCTCAGGCTAAAACGTTTTCCTAAATTTCTCAGTTTAATATAAATGGGCCATAAAGTGAATCTAAAATGTTTAGACTTTTGTTCATTCTCTGCATATACTACCACTTAAAAAAGTTTGGGTTCAGTAAGATTTTTATGTTTTTGAAAGAAGTCTCTTATGCTCACCAAGGCTGCATTTATTTGATCAAAAATACAGTAAAACCAGTGAAATTGTAAAATATTATTACAATTTACAAGAACTGTTTTCTATTTTAATATACTTTAAAATGTAAATTTATTCCTGTGATGGAAAAGCTGAATTTTTAGCAGCCATTACGCCCGTCTTCAGTGTCACATGGTCCTTCAGAAGTCATTCTAATCATTTCTGCACAATAATAATAATAATAATTAAAAAAATATATATTATCATTATCAACATTGAAAACAGCTGTGCTGCATTATATTTTAGAGGATACCATTTTTTTTTATTAATAGAAAGTTCAAAAGAACAGCATTCATTTGAAAAAGAAGACTTTTGTAATATTGTAAATGTAATTAGTCACTTTCTATCAATTCAATCATTGCTGAATAAAAGTTACTTTTAAGAAGAAAAAAAAAAAAAGGATCCCAAACTTTTAAATGGTAGTGTAAATCTGATTTGTTTTTCAAATATGAACTTTAGGACTGACCGTTTGCTCTGTAGCTATGTAAAATCTGATTAGTACACCCAAATATGAAGATTCATTTACTCGCCTTGGTGTCTTTGCAAACCTGTATTTTTTTTCTTCTGTGGAACACAAAAGAAGATATTCTCAAGAATTTATTTATTTTTTGGTCTGTGGGTTTTCAGTGTTGTTTTGGACCCCACTGACTTTCACCGTATGGACAAAAACAGTTAAAACATTCTTTAAAATCTCTTCTTTTGGGTTTTGGAGAAGAAACTAAGTCATACTGTTTTGGAACGACACAACAGTGAGTAAATAATTATTCAATTTTAATTATTTAATACATCATTTTCATTTTTGGGTGAACAATCCCTTTTGAATCAGCCCAATGTGAAAACACATAAGAGAGCAGATGTCATTGTAGAAAGATGACAACCTGAACAAATTTATTTGGATTTTAAACTACAGACACACAGTATTATATTATTTTTGCTATTCAGACTACAAACAACTATAATATTTTTGCAGCCTGTCTGAACAAAACCTTAGAAATCTTTGCTGAAAAGCTGCAGTGTGTGTTGTTCCATACAAATGCTGATAGTTGAGTCTTACCTTTCATTTCCTCATCCTCCACTGTGGCACTACTGCTGTCCGACGACTCCTGTGATATTCAGACACAGAACACCAATTAGTCAGACAATATATTGACATTTTTCAGAAAGAATACCAACAAGGGCCAAAGTCCTCACTCTCATTGTTATACACATACTATAAACGAACATGTACACAGCAGAACTCTGGGGAATCACACGCACAATTAACCATTCAATGATGCATGTCCATGTCAGCACGACTGTTAGAAGGGGCTTGTTATGTTTGTTATAATCCCACTCACATACATAATGATATATTTACAAGAACTGTTTTCTATTTTAATATACTTTAAAATGTAAATTTATTCCTGTGATGGAAAAGCTGAATTTTTAGCAGCCATTACGCCCGTCTTCAGTGTCACATGGTCCTTCAGAAGTCATTCTAATCATTTCTGCACAATAATAATAATAATAATTAAAAAAATATATATTATCATTATCAACATTGAAAACAGCTGTGCTGCATTATATTTTAGAGGATACCATTTTTTTTTATTAATAGAAAGTTCAAAAGAACAGCATTCATTTGAAAAAGAAGACTTTTGTAATATTGTAAATGTAATTAGTCACTTTCTATCAATTCAATCATTGCTGAATAAAAGTTACTTTTAAGAAGAAAAAAAAAAAAAGGATCCCAAACTTTTAAATGGTAGTGTAAATCTGATTTGTTTTTCAAATATGAACTTTAGGACTGACCGTTTGCTCTGTAGCTATGTAAAATCTGATTAGTACACCCAAATATGAAGATTCATTTACTCGCCTTGGTGTCTTTGCAAACCTGTATTTTTTTTCTTCTGTGGAACACAAAAGAAGATATTCTCAAGAATTTATTTATTTTTTGGTCTGTGGGTTTTCAGTGTTGTTTTGGACCCCACTGACTTTCACCGTATGGACAAAAACAGTTAAAACATTCTTTAAAATCTCTTCTTTTGGGTTTTGGAGAAGAAACTAAGTCATACTGTTTTGGAACGACACAACAGTGAGTAAATAATTATTCAATTTTAATTATTTAATACATCATTTTCATTTTTGGGTGAACAATCCCTTTTGAATCAGCCCAATGTGAAAACACATAAGAGAGCAGATGTCATTGTAGAAAGATGACAACCTGAACAAATTTATTTGGATTTTAAACTACAGACACACAGTATTATATTATTTTTGCTATTCAGACTACAAACAACTATAATATTTTTGCAGCCTGTCTGAAGAAAACCTTAGAAATCTTTGCTGAAAAGCTGCAGTGTGTGTTGTTCCATACAAATGCTGATAGTTGAGTCTTACCTTTCATTTCCTCATCCTCCACTGTGGCACTACTGCTGTCCGACGACTCCTGTGATATTCAGACACAGAACACCAATTAGTCAGACAATATATTGACATTTTTCAGAAAGAATACCAACAAGGGCCAAAGTCCTCACTCTCATTGTTATACACATACTATAAACGAACATGTACACAGCAGAACTCTGGGGAATCACACGCACAATTAACCGTTCAATGATGCATGTCCATGTCAGCACGACTGTTAGAAGGGGCTTGTTATGTTTGTTATAATCCCACTCACATACATAATGATATTAAACACAGGCCACACCTCCACCAGGAATGAACATTATGAACTCAATACTCTTTCCTTCAAAATATCCTATATCCAATCAATTTCACAATATCCTGTGCTGAAATCTGAGAGACGGGCTGCACTAATTACAAGAGTACTACAAACGCTTGTGTAAGGAACAGACAGTAATATAAAACAACACACTCTTGGCCTCCTGCAGTCTTCTTTGGTGCATACTGGATGCACTTTTATTTTGCATTATGTGAATTTAAGTTCATATTGTTGGATGCGATTTGATGGGTCTTACTAAGCACACTACAAACAAAAAGCGTGGAGTTGTAAATTGAGGTTATGTTCAATCGTACTATAGATGTATAGATATTTTGGCATTAGAAGCCAATCCAATTTTAATCCTAATCTTCAAAAAACTTTATAAACACAAACAAAATATATAAGGAAAAAGTGAAAGTAAACAGACATTACGTACTAACTTGCAGTGAGGATAAACCAGTGTTGTTACTGTTAAATAATTATTTTTTAACTTAAACTATTATTTTTACTTAAAATAATTTTTGGTAATTGAATAACGTGGAAATAAAATATAAAACGTATACAAAAATCTGAAATTTTGTCATGGCAGCTAACTGAAATAAATTGGTTTAAATTGAAATACTGAATGACTAATCACTAAAATACAAATAACCTAAAGCTTTATAAAAATATATCTATGTAGAGTTTTTTTTTTTTACAAATTTTTCTTTCAGTTCTATTTTTAGTAATTTCAGTAGATCAAGTTACACTAATTGAAGTTTAAGGGTTTAAAAAGTTCACTTTATTTCAAGCAACAATTTTTTAATGGTTTTGGTTTTAGTTTACTATAATAACCCTTATTGTAAAATAGAAAAAAAATAATAATTTACTATGTTCACCTGCATGATAAATAATTTTGGTGCTGTGTTGGGTCACCACTTGATGTCTAATTTATAGCAGAGTCCTGATGCAAAACCACTGTTGTATTGCAATAAAATTCTTACTAAAATAATGTTTTAAAAAATATTTCCTATTTTTAAATGAGTCCAGCTATATTGAGAAAAGAGTCAAAGCTGAAGGGTTTGCAACAACACCTTGTAGCGGAAAGTATTTACACAGCACTTTATCTTGTACTTTATTGCTCAATTGAATTAATCGACAGAACGATGTCTCAATAGGAAATGAGGAGGAGGAGGGCATGGTCACCTGAGAAATGGGACCGTGCACCTGTCACAGTGTAACCGTAGCGATCACCAAGGACACCAGCTCCTGCTGTAAATAGGCCATCAGTATGTGGGCCGATATTATTAGGTGCTCCTGAAAAGGCTTTTGTTCTCTCATTCCATCATCTATGCTGTGCTACAGACCTTGTTACACCTGTACAAAGAAAGTGGCAAACGTGGCGAAATGGACAGCTTCCCACGCAAGGGTCTAATAGCTCATTTTCTAGGGGGAAATTAAGACCAATTCAGTATTCACACAGAACAGCAACCACTGGCAGAAAAACTGCGCCCAGATCTAGACTTCACTACTGCCACCTGGGAGAATCAAAGAGATTTTTTTGTAATATCACAGGCCTACTTTTATTTTCCACGGATGCATTAAATTAATCAAAAATGACCGCACAGGCATTACAAAAAATTATTTCAAATAAATATTTACATTTAAAATCATTCCATTTCATTTCTATTTATGTTTTATTTTTAAAGATGAATGGTGTAATTTCTCTTCCACTAGAAGAACAAAATGCTATTGTACAAAATGACTGTCAAAAAGAATTTTTTTCATGTCAAGGGAGATAGTTTCGCAAGTTGCACTTTCAATGAGCACCACAAGAGGTCTCAACACCACACAGTCGGAAACAGAGAGACCTGAGACAGCAGGTTTAATATTCTCATCATGACACAGATTTCCAAATGTTGCTCTTCGGCCTCATACGGCAAACATCTGATGTGTCAAGAGTCATTTCCCATCATCACAACCATGAATAAACATCACTATTAAACAGACTGTCGATTAACTGTGAAACAATCACACTAAAGGAGCGGCAAACAAACGACTCAACCCTTCAACACAACATGCGTTTCATCAGAGGAATACGTTTACTCATTTGCACATTATGTTTAGTTAAAAGATGCAATTTCTTAATAGTAATGAGTTATTCAACCGGATCTAAAGAGTACTAGCGCGAGTACACATTAAACTTCAAAAGGGTCACGCAGCAGCCAACAGGCACACACGCTCAGATGATGTCATAGTCTGTAGTCACATTAGCAGAAATGCATTGTGGGGATGCAGATCAAACAGAGGACGGATGGTGGGAAGAAAAGAAAGAGTGGTGGTGGGTTACCTTAATCCCATCCACTGCATTATGGATGACAGTGGTCTGTGTCTCCTACAGAGCGACAGGGGAGGAGGGGGTGGAAAAACATGAGGAGAAAAAAGAAGAGAGAGAAAGAGCGTGTGTGGGTGGATGGGTGTTTGTGATTGCCAAACCAGTAAAAAAAAATGAACAAACAAAACGTGCACAAAAACCACCAGAGAGCTTCATAAAACAAATGACTGCACGTTAGGCTCCAATATTTCAAAACTATCAACTACGAACGGACAAAATCAGCCTCGTATCGCTGAAAGTGAAATAGCGTGATTTTAACAGAACGACTGCGGATGCTATCGCAGCCGCTATACTTAAATGTTTATTTTAATCCGTCTCCTCTGCGTACGTGTCAACCCCGGAAACCTGCTAGCTAGACACACATCAGACCGCATAAATTTGTAATGCCCAATTCTCTCTCGCAGGAAGTAACATTCCCTTACTGTCCAATCAGCAGCCTGTGGTCCCCATCATTATGAGGTATTCATCGCCATGACAACCGTTGCTCCGTGCAACAGGCAGCAGTTGCATGCTAAAGTTACTATGGACACAGAGGCTGCGTCCGAAAGCTCTAAAATGCTGCCTTCGGAGGGAGCATTCCAAGGCAGGAAGGCATCAAGGCACGTCCGAATACAAATTCTGGAGGTACCTTCTTCTGATCGAATTTTGAAGGCAGGCAGGCAGCATAGATGTATCCTTCGCTGCCTTTGATATCCCACAATCCTGTGCACTCCATTCCGTGACGGTTGAGATAAAAAAATCTATAAAGATGGCGCCTGAAAGTTGCGTTTGGTGGTCAGTTTGTTTAAATGTATGTTTCTGATTAACTTTTTGCACTTTTGATGTTATTTCTAGCGAGAAATCAGTATTATAAAATCATCAAAACTCGTTCTATTTTGTTGTAGATCATTAAACCGTTACGCTGCCTCAGAAGCCTGTCTGAAATCAGTTTCATGAGGTGCCTTTGTGCAAAAACGTTGCCTGCAAAGTCATTGCCTCACACGGCAGCGAGGCAGCAGGTCAGCTGCCTAGGCTTTCAGACGCAGCCAGAGTCTATAAGAAGCTGCGAATGCAAACAATTTTAAAGGGATAGTTTAGCCAAAAATGAAAATTGCATCATCATTTATTCACGCTCAAGTTGTTCCAAACCTGTATGAATGTCTTTCTTCTGTTGAACACAAGAGAAGATATTTCGAAGATTGCTGGTAACCAAACAGTTGACAGCAGCCACTGACTTGAAAAAAATACTACCGAAGTCAATGGCTACCGTCAACTGAAAATTACTTCTCGTGTTCAACAGAAGAAATAAATTCATACATGTTTAGAACAACTTGAGGGTGAATAAATGACAGAATTTTCATTTTTGGATGAACTATACCTTTAAGAAATTTTAGTTGATTATTCTTATTGATAAAATTGTTAGTCACATAGCTACATACAAATACAAATATATTTATATTGCTTATGACGTTTTTTTTTTTTTTTTGCATTATGACATTAATGGTGTCTGATTAAAACAGGTGTTAGTGTTGGTACAGTTCAAATTCTCCTCTTCAAACTCAATACTTCTGTCATCATTAAATGTCAGTATCTGTCATTATTAAATTATTATTTTTCTAAATATTAAAAAATTTCAGTAAAATATTCAAAAATACAGAAAATATATGTGACTATATAATGTGTTGTATATTACCATGCATTGTTATACTGGCACCTGCCACATAAATTAGTTAGAAGAGATTAGTTAGTGAAAAAAAGTCAAAATTATAATTTTTTTTAAAAATACGATTGAATTATTTTATGTTTATGTAAACATAACTTTTAGTTCTTACATATAACATTTTAAATATCCTTGGCTGATTGATTAAAGTAATGGTTATTGTGAACAAAATTTCAAGGCAAAGCAAATTTTAAATACAAAAACATAAATATGGAGATATATCAAAAATAAAAATATCATCCAGTCCTACACAACTGTACAGTTAATAGTAAAGCTGGAAGGGAAACCATGAAACAAAGCACTAAGGCTAGAGTCTTTTCTGACCATAAACACCTCCTCACTTCACTTCAAGGTTGAGTAACTATATCTGCACCATAAAATGCACACACACGAGCAGCACACAAACTCCACAGTGGCAGCATTAAAGGGCAACTATGAGAGATCCTAAAATATTCTGATGCCACGTGTTGCAATAACTGTATATGTTGGAATGTATGTCATGTTTCCATTAGGAGCTTCCTTCCTTAATGCTCAGGGTTCACTCTAAAACCTCTTCACTGAGCTTTTACAGACCACAGAAATCTACAAAAATCCACCCAGAACATAGACGATCCATCTATATCCCTCAAGCATGTCATTAAACATTAA